TAAAGGCAAACAAAACCAAAACCGTTCCCAGTATTACAGCGTTTATGATACAACGAAATGAGGTTAATAATATGAAGTATAATGTTGAAGAAATTTTATAGGCCAATCTTGATGATAATGTATTAGATTTACATGTTGAAAACAAACATTCTTACTTGAAGCTATTGTGCTATTCAGTAAAGCAATCATATTCGACAACTTGCATTCCTCCGCATACATCTAATGAGAATGATGATGGCCTACCTTACTTCACCAATAATGAGAAAGCAGTAAGGTTAAACGGATACTTTCAGTCTATATCAACACTGAATGATGAAAATGCATGTTTCCTAAATTTTAATAATCGAAATAATCGTCGAAACTCTTACTGTGAATAAAAGCGAAAAATCAGATGTTATAAAATGTTTACGTCTAAAGAAATCATCTGGTCCCGACAAAATTAGTCATCAACTTTTAAAACCCCCGAAATAGATTCAATAAGTAAAGTATTATGTTTATTATTGAATGAGGTGAGGTGAAATTGGGTTTAACGTCGCGTCCAAGATTATTGCACTTATATAGCGACGTGCATGTACGTGTGTGTGTTTGTGTGGCTGCTTGCACTAGTCCGGACTGATGCCGATTTATAGTGCTAGCTCACTGAGATACCATGCCGCAGTTTAACATGAATACCCAACTCAGACACAGTATATTGACTCCGAGCCGACCAATCCTTGTTTAAGCCCCTTAATGCCGAGCGCCAGACAGGGTTACAACAAGTACCATCTTTTAACGTCTTTTGGTATGACGCGGCCGGGGAACGAACCCCGGACCTTCCGCCCTCTGGGCGGACGCCCTACCACCAGACCACGGAGGCGGTCTTATTATTCAATATGTCTTTAAAACATGCGTGTATCCCTCTAAGTGGAAAGTTGCTTATGTCATGCCACTTTGTAGCAAGGTGATCATGCATGCATTGGCCATAAATTATTATCCTGTTACTCATCAGTTGTGTTGGTAAAGTATTTGAAAAGGTGTTTACAAGCACTCGTTTAACTATTTTCATGCAAATAACTTTTATATAATTATAAGTATCATTCTGGTTTTCATGCTGGACATTCAGTTAATTGAAATATACCAGAAGAGTTGTACAGGCGTGGATAAGGAAGAAATTTATTGCATGGTCTTTTGTGATGTTTCGAAAGCTTTTTCTCTTGTTTGGCAGAGGTACATGTTGTTGAACAAGTATTGTGTAAGGGCACAGTTGTTGGGATGGTTATATAAGCCAGTTATATAAGCGATCGTAGTCAAAGCGTCTTTGTTAATCGAGCTACTTCCAAGCCCAGAACATCTAGCGCTGGCGTGCGCCAGGGTTCAGTGATTGGCCCTTTTTTATTTATCGAATACGTCAACGACATACATGTAGCTGATGAATTAGATTGTAAACTAGAAGTCTTTGCCGCTGACTCATCTCTGGGTATTTCTGCAGCTGGTAACAATTAGACTGAAATGAAATGCAGACTACATTTGGGGCTAGATGGTAAATTTCAAGATTCTTGTAATGGCCGCGCCCACACTGGTGCCAGCGATGTTACCGAGAGTGTAACGAGGGTGTCACGCGCTGGGAAGGAGCTTGCTGCATAAGTAAATGTCACGTGGTATTTGTCACAAGGAAAGGGCTATATATGGTGTTCATTATTAGTATTTTTGTTTTCTATATGTCGTGCGATGATACCACTTGTACGTTGCCGTATGGTGTTGTGTGATGGGTAACAATTACGCGTCACCTCCAACTTTTCAGAGATAAGTGCAGGATCAACGGCCTATTTCAAATTATATGCATATCACATATCATATTGTCATGTGACCCAGGCAGTAATCGTTGCAGCTCGTTTAAAAAAAAGTAAGCCATCATATATCACTTTACCCATATGCCGTAATCCATCAAACACTCTGCTTATGAAAATGTGTGTGTGTGTGTGTGTGGGGTCATTTCCGGCTTTCCTCCAACATTAAGCTGACACGCCGCGATATAACTGGAGTACTGTTAGAAGCGGCGTAAAATCCAACTCACTCACTCACTCACTATGATATATGGACATGGACGTGTGAGAGACGAGCAATAGGCAGTTGTTGGGCAACATGTATTTACATTCCTAGTTTTAAGTCTACCTACGGGAACACGTCTATCACTGAAATTAACAGTGCTGTTTCTGACGTTGTTGGTTGCAATTTGTAAGCGGTGATGTTAAAACAAATCCTGGTCCCAGAACCCCAAGCCATAGTCATAAATTTAAAAGCCACCCAAGCGGAACTGACTACCCTGAATCATCACACGTTCTATCTGCTTGCCGTAAAAGGCGACTATGCTTGTCGAAAGAGGCGACTATGCTTTTCGTAAAAGGCGACTGTGCTTGCCGTAAAAAGCGACTATGCTTGTAGTAAGATGCGACTATGTTTGTAGTAAGAGGCAACTTACGGGATCGGGCGGTCAGGCTCCTGACTTGGTTGATTCATGTCATTGTATTCCAATTACGCGGGGCGATGCTCATGCTGTCAATCATTGGGTTGTCTGGTCCTAACTCGATTATTTACAGACCACAGTCATATTGCTGAGTGCGGCGTTAAACAACAAACAAACACAAGTCCTATCGTTTTGCGAGTGCCTTCAATGAACAGTTACGAATGATTCAATCTGACAACGATGTATTCAGGGGCGAAACTACCATTTGAGCAGAAAGGCACTTGCTTACACCTTAAGAAAATGTTTTAGCACCTACAAAAACACAGTTTAAAAAATAGTAAGTAAGCCTCAATTTACCATCAATGCATTAAATTATAAGTTCAAACTCTACACGGTCGAACATGATATTTATTGTCTGACTTGAAAATCGGTATCTTTACGCACTTTAGGATTTTAGTGGTAGGTTGTTTTATCATAGCCGTGAAAACCCTGGTCATGATCACAAGCCAGTGAGTTCTGCCACTGCAGAACGCTCGTTTAGCGCAATGAGGCGGATCAAGACATGCCTTAGCGAGTTCGGGCGCTTCACGCCATCATAAAATTGGTTTTGCTTACACGTAAAATTAGCCTACATGTAGTTGCGCCCCTGGTATTGCGTGATAGAATGCAGTGCCTTGTGTCTGAAACTGACAATTGCAACAGTCTTGGCGTAATAACGTCATTACTGACGGTCTGAGGGATGTGACGGGGGAAACGTGGAACAAGACGGAAGAAAAAGTCAGAACTTTTTAGCTCAGAAACTGAATTGCGGAAACTGTTCCCATTGACAGAACACATCGTTTGAATCCGAAATCCAGGAGTAGGACAGTAATTGTGCATTTCTCATTCTATAAGGATAAACTTTCCGTTGTCGTTTCTTGCTGTGGGATTTTGATTCAAATAAAGCTATAGTACGGGAGCCTGGGCGTCTTACTATATTTATCTAAATCAGATGAAGGTAATTAAATAGTGGATTAAACTTATACGTGTGCCACATTATCCTTGTCCTTACCAGTTACCTGATGCTAGTATCTTTAGATAATAATGGCAAACATACATTGGCAGCTGATGTCAGAACACTGCCATTTTCGTGTGGGTTTTGCCCAAGATGTTGGGGATAAATTATCATTTGTTTCTACCTTTAAACAAAGACTCGTTGATAATTTCGTTCAAGATTTGGTCGGAGAAATATTAGGAAGAACAAAGACACAGACTATTCAAATATTCTTTGTGCATATTGTAAATCTGGGTCCATTGAAAGAAATATTTGCCACATTTAGAAAATTACTTAAATCACCAAGTAATGAACAATTTACTCATCTCAAATGATGTACATACTATTAAGTGAGTAGCCATCTTTATCAAACACATTTTCTATAAGACTTCAAAGAGTTGTTAATTTACCAAATGCCCTGTCAGTCAAGTGACTCCCAACTTTATTCTGTTCTCTGAATTGTACTCCGAGCCGCAAGGCCGAAATATTAAATAAACACATATGTCAGTCTATTATATCTGTCATAACGTAATTAAATAAAATTATTTCAGTTATTACTTGACGCCCCTCACAAGCATCCCCAGATGAGTCTGCACTGCACCGGGTACTAGCATACGCGCCTTTGTTTTGTTTGTTTGTTTGTTTTTTAACGCCGCACTCACCAATATTCCAGCTATATGACAGCGGCCTGTAAATAATCGAGTCTGGACCAGACAATACAGTGATTGTCTTCATGACCATCGATCGAGGCAATTCGGACAAGGGTGACAATGTATCAACCAAGTCAGCGAGCCTGACCTCCTGATCCCCTTAGTCGCCTCTCACGGCAAGCATGGGTTGCTGAAGACCTATTTTAACCCGAATTTTTACAGGTCGCATACTCTCCTGTATAACTGTTGTTTTAGCTATGAAATGAGTAACTGTGTTGAAATGTGGCCCCGTGTGAGGTACCTGGAGTGGTTGCCGTACGCTATCAGGGAACTGTCAAGGATGCTTAGGTGTTGCTATCTACGTTTAGATGTTTAAGAAATGCTTTAATATCTTATTTTGAGGTTTAGGCTACACAAATCCATAACGTACATATTTATAAAGGACAAGCGAAAATAACAGAATTCTGGGAATGGAATCTGACAAGATCTAGTAGAACAATGTTATTGGGCACATTAGACCAATTAATAAGAATGAGCGATGGCATATCACATACATCCTTAAAAGAACCATCCATTTTTCTAGGTTTATTTTTTTAATCAAAATATAACCCGAGTGACAATTTTATATGTTGGACTATACTATTTATTGTGAAAAGGTGATTTTCTTCTTAAATATAACATATTTGGTGATTAATGCCTGCTAGTCTGATTCTTGGAATCAGTGAAAGGTCAACGAGCCGTAGGAACCGCTGCACAGCTTGTTCCGGGTTGACACGAGTAGTCATTTACAGCAGAGTTTCTGAATCTATGACTAAGGGTTTCCCATCGTTTTGTCTGCAGAGATTCCTCTATCCAAGATGGTGATATATTTCAGACTGAAAGCCAGCAGTTCGAAGACAGGACAACATGGAAACAGCCACGTGTTCAAGAAGGCGATATACCGAGAGTACACTGACGAAACATTCACCACAGAGAAACCCAAGCCGGCGTGGTTGGGATTTGTCGGACCGACGCTGTACGGGGAGGAGGACGAGTTCATCAACGTCATGTTCTTCAACAACGCCAGCAAGACGTTCTCCATTCATCCTCATGGCGTCCTTTACAACAAAATCAACGAAGGTGAACCCTGGACATTTACTGTCTTTAGAGTAAATTTTGTAGCTAGGGTATTTGACCCTAAATAGTTCACTCTGCATATTTTGTGGATTATTATTATAATTAATGACGTTAATTATATTTGTATTGCGGTGCATTTCCTGTTTGCGAAGGTCAAGGTCGTCATGGCTGAAATAATGCCGATGCGACGTTAAATTGGAACTAACTCACGTTTAGATTAAATTTGCTCTAAAGGTGCGGCATATGCGGACGGTAGCCATGACAACAACACAGACACGCCCCCTGATGTCGTGGAACCCGGATGTAACTATACGTACACGTGGAAAGTGACGCACAACGCTAGCCCGGCAGAGGGAGACGCGGACTGTTTGACATGGCTGTATCACTCACATGTGGACACCGTCAGAGACACCAACTCGGGATTGGTGGGATTTCTGCTGACCTGCAGACAAGGTTCGTAGCGACACCTGGTGGCACTTAACTGTTAAAAGAATTCTTGTATATCTTTGTTAATCGATCACTGTGATAATAACTTTTAGAATATATTGTCCAATGACATTTGATGACGGTGAATATTATGCACTGATTTTACGAGATATTTTGGGATTCGCACCTGGACTAGTTTGTCAAGATGCTCCGTGGTGTGCATAATTCAATCTAATAAACATCATATAAAGTAATCTAGGATGTCATTGATCAGATAGCGAATCCTGGTAGCTAGGGGACAAAACGTGTTTTAACAGAAACAAATGGTTGAATGCTTGCTACTTTTATTCTCGAGTGAGTGGGTGAGCATGGATAATATTTTAGCCATATAGCGATGGAAACTAGGTACAGAAAAGTACGGTTATAACGAACTCAAACGGACTACTAATTTTAGTTCGTTATAAACCATAGTTCTTTATAAGCATATATACAGCATAACTACAGCAAATAGTCGGGACCCAAAAGTAAGTTCGTTATATCCGTCAGTTCGTTATAAGCGTGTTCGTTATAAACGTAGTTTACTGTATTAGGTTTAAAATATTTGTCGAAAAAAGGACAGTAAAATAGTAAGGTATATTACAGTTTCTGAATAAAAGAAATGAGATAATTTCTTTTAAAAATCTATTCTCTAGTGAATAATGCCGTATATTACTACTATAGTTAGCGAGTGAGTTGGGTTTAACGCCGCTTTAAACAGTACATCAGTAATATCAGGGAGTTATTTGGTTAACATACCTGTGGACAACCTGGAAACGTAACCAGGGTGAACCGAGATTCGAACCCACGATCATAGGATCGCGTCATTCCAAAACGGCATTTCTGACACAGACGAATCAACGTGAAAATCGAAGGCGAGATCAGTGCGTAAGGTCCGGTCTTAGTGCCCCTCCCCGCGGAATAATGTTATACTGTGTTGCAATTATAGTCTGGTTGTGCAGGTGCCCTCAACAACACAGACCTCGCCCGCCACTACGCCTTGTACGTCACCACCGTGGACGAGTCCAAGAGCTGGTACGTCGACCACAACCTCGGACACTTCCCTCTCAACATCAGCAGCAGAGATGCGGACTTCAGATGGACTTCCTCAATCCATGCCATCAACGGCTACGTGTTCGGCAACCTCCCCGACATCACAGCATGTGTAGGGGAAACAGTCACGTGGCACATGGCCGGCCTAGGATCAGTCCAGGATCTTCACTCGCTGTCCATCAGCGGTCATTCGTTTGAATACTATCACCACAGGTGAGACAAGTGTGCACTCCGAACAGATCCTACTGCCTCATGCTTGTCGCCGTCTTGAGATTCCTAAGTAGAATAAGGCCCGATGCTGTACTTCCTTGAATGTCTCCTGGTCAGACCCGCTCTCCAGTGTCAATGCCTGTGGACATGCCTACCAAAGTCGACGATGTTTTCAGAAAACGATGAGTAAGCCGCAGCTGGATTGAAATATAGCATGTGTTTGTTTTTGAACGCACGGTATTTTTGTCCTGGTACGTGAATGCACAGTGGAGATACTGGAGCAAAATTGGTCACCAGTATCTCATGTTTGTCTTTCCGTGGCGATTTCTGTGCAGAATAGGTCCCCGGTATCTCAGGCTTGTCTCCCCGTCGCGATACTTGTGCAGAATAGGTGGCCAGTATCTCATGCTTGTCCCCCCGTAGCGATACCTGTGCAGAATAGGTCCCCAGTATCTCATGCTTGTCTCCCCGTTGCGATACCTGTACAGAATATGTCCACAGTATCTTATGCTTGTCCCCCTGTGGCGATGCAGAATAGGTCCCAAGAATCTCATGCTTGTCTCCCTGTGTGGATTCTTGTGCAGAGTAGGTCCCAAGTATCTCATGCTTGTCTCCCCATGGGGATTACAGGACAGATTAGGTTCCCAGTTCCCAGTTGACATAAGTTTGAACGCGACTTTAAGCATAATTTCCCCTCAGCTCATTCATAGGTAATAACGGATTAGGGGCGTTACCCATGTTTCTGGCAAACTGTGTCTGTGTCATTTGTTTCGAGAAGATCAGGGGTGGTGTGTCAGCATGGTACATTCTTGAGTCTCCAAGGCCGAACATAACTTTACGTTTACTGTCAATAGAAGCAGTGTAAAATCACACTCAATAACTTATTCACTACATTCAGACGATAAAATGTTTTGATTTTTTTTGGAAAAAGTTTCGCAGTGAGTAATATGTACGTGTTATTATTTATATAAGTATGACAGTCTGTATCCAGGCAACTAGAGGAAGCCAACGTTCAGAGTTCACATGGAGTAGGATAAGTGACCGTCCAAAATCTTAAGTGTTTGGTGGACATTTCAGCTACCAGTGAACTGGAACTGTGAACGGAGTAACATAGTTTATTGCAATAATATTGGCAAAAACATGTTTCTGTTTGCAACATTATGTTGCTATGAACTAGGGCTGGGACGAGTCCAAATTTACTACCCGGGTACCCGACACCCTATTACCCGGCCCTACCCGAATACCTGCCATAGGTCTCAAGAGTTGGGTACAAAATGTCCGAATCGGAATTGTTTTATCGCAGCCCTGGCAAAACTATTGAGATACATGTATAAAACGATCTGATCATGCATACACTGCAGTTGATAGACGCTTTATACTTACTCGAACATATAAAAGTCACGAATGCTTGCATAGTGAGAAAGAAATGTGAACATAAGTTATACTTGTAGTGTAACCATTGAGTTTTATTGTTAATGGCATTACAGTATATAACGTGACTTACCTCCAGGACCCCGTTCCACAAAGCCATCTTAGCGCTAAGTCGGTCGTAACTCCCATTGTTTAACACTGACTTACGACGTCGTAGCGCCATGGACACTAAATATAGTATTAAGTGTCCATGGTAGCGCTAAGATCGCTTTGTGGAACGGGGCCCTGGTCTGGTCATGTGGGTACCCGGGTCCTTCACAGGACCCTCCCGACCCGAGTTACCCGTCCCAGTCCTAAAATGGACGAATTCCTTTTATATAAATTCTATATGGTTTCTTGCTTCAGACAAAATACAATCAACCTGGACACGGCCCAGTTTTCAACAGCAACAACAACTGCTGTCTCCCCGGGGCGGTGGCGAATTAGTTGTGAGGTGACCGAGCATGCTGCGAGTAAGGCGATCAGAGTTACTTCCCTTGTATTGTCGCAAGCCGCGCACCACACTCCGAACTTAGCATAACACCACTGCCACAGGCTAATTTGCATATCACGTGACCGGACTTTTCTTGTTTGTAAACAAACGTGAATTTTCAGAAATCAGAATAGGACGGATTCATGCAATTATTTTGGGGCGCTGTACATTTTGTTTTGCATAATTATATAAATATGTTACTTCAACTGCGACAGTGAGTTGCATCACAATACATACGAGGGGTGTTCATTAAAGATTTCCCCTAAACCACTTAGGGTTATCATATTTGGTTGAAATTTCACATGTGTAATGATACATGTATCTATGGGTTATGTCTGAATTTGCATGACCGAACTATTAATCTTACCACTTTTACAGGTGTTATGATCGAGTAGGGTGGAGCCAGTAGAATACCGAGCAGTGATTAGGTTTTTATATTTGAAAGGTTGCACACCAAAAGAAACTTATGGGGAAGATGCCCCATCATATGACGTTGTTAAACACTGGCATCGCCAGTTCAAGTGTGGTCGGACATCTGTGGAAACAGCTGCCATTCCTGGTCGCCCCCATTCAGCCATTGATGGGGACACTATCCATCAAGTGGAGACCGCAATTTTGGCAGACCGACGTATAACTGTTCGCCAGTTAGTACAAGATGTCAAGATCAGTGTAGGGTCTGTGGAAAAAATCATCCATGACAATTTGAACATGCATAAGGTGTCTGCACGATGGATTCCCAGGTTGCTCACACCTTTCCAAAAGCAGGAACGAGTCAATTGCTCAAAGGATCTTTTGGACATGTGCCAAAAAAAACCAGGCAAACATTTTTGACAGACTTATCACACAGGATGAAACATTGGTCCATCACTATGATCCTGAGACTAAAGTTCAGTCGATGCAATGGAAGAATGTGGAGTCACCACCCCTAAAGAAGGCACGTGTCCAACCCTCTGCAGGCAAGGTCATGCTCACGGTGTTTTGGGACCAGCACGGAGTTGTGATGATGGATTTCTTGGCAAAGGGTAACACAATTACAGGAGCTTATTATGCTTCACTGCTGCGGAAATTGCAGGACGCTATCAAGCTGAAGGGGTGTGGCATGCTGACCAAGGGTGTCCGTCTCCTGCAAGACAATGCTCCAGTACACAACTCTCATGTTGCCCAGATAGAAGCGCGGTCCCGTGGCTATGAAATCCTTCCACATCCTCCTTACTCTCCTGACCTTGCACCATCTGACTTCCAACTCTTTCCAACCATGAAGTCATTTTTGAAATGAAAACGTTTCACAGATGATGAAACACTGATTTCTGAAGTCAAGTCCTGGTTTGAAACGCAAAATGAGGGCTTTTACAAGCGAGGTCTCCATAGTTGCATAAAACGATGGGAGAAGTGTGTAACTCATGGTGGTTCCTATGTGGAGAAAGACTAATACCCATGCCAAGTTTCATTCCACTAGGTCCATCGATCGGAAGTGGGTCAGGGGAAATCTTTAACGAACACCCCTCGTATTTACACATCAACATGATGTGGGGCTTCGGTGATAGCACGTGGCGCCGTACCACCAATGTAAACATAGGATAACTACGCAAATGGAAATTTTTCACGATTTAGTATATTTTCTCAGAGAAAGTTAACCATTCTATGACATATTTATATCTAGATATGTAGACTTGTAGAAAAAGGAAGATGGAAAACATATGCAATGCGGGTCGCATTGTGTATGCTTATGAAGACATACGAGAATTACGCCCTTGGTCATTCTTAGTAGGACCCGGTTATGTACAGCTGATAGTGTCTCCCCATAACGTTTCAATACAGGAGTGGGTTCGAATCCCGGTTCACCCCGATTATGTTTCGATGTCTTTGGTCACAATACCCGTGCTCGTGGATTTCACCAAAGTGGAAAACGTCTGAGACCTGCATCACGTCGGGCTTTCCTCCCACATTAAGATGACATGCGGTGATATAACTGGAACACTCTTCAAAGCGGTGTTAAAACCCTACTCACTCACTCACTCACTCACTCACTCACTCACACTCACTCACTCACTCACTCACTCACTCACTCACTCACTCACTCACTCACTCACTCACTCACTACAGGACCAACCCTCTTATTATAGAACTGGTCAAAAATTAACTGAACTTAATAATGGTTCAGGTTCTTAATTGAAATAATTTCGTATTCATTATTGTTCATATTACACTTCTGCCTATTTTAGAATCTATGTCCTCATCAAAAATCGATTTACTTACTCACCATGCCAAACAACAACATTAGGCCACAACCAATTCATAGCTCTATATAAATCTTGTGATTCCGTTGCCCTAAAACCATATGTTGGTTTTCAGGCTGAGATTAGGCGCATTTACCACACCACTGACTCCATACCTTGCTTAAACAACGACGGAAATAGATATAAAAGGCTACAATTATCCGCAATGGCTTAAACGAGGAAGATCATATTTGTGTTTTTGAAAAGATGCATATTGTATTCCATTAGTTAAATTGAAAAATACCAGAGGAACGACAGGGAATAACTGATTATCAATGGAACACTTTTAACTCACAGGTGTTCGAGTAGATTGTCCTTTAACAGGGAGTACGGGTGGCCTAGTTAGCTGTGCTTAGCTGCTTGTCGTGGATGTGCCAGAAACCTATGATCGTGGGTTCGAATCCCGGTTCGCCCCGATGTTGTCTCAAGGTCTGTCAGCATCATACCCATGCTCGTGGGTTTCACCAAAGTGGTGAATGTCTGAGACCTGGGCTTTCCTCCCACATTAAGCTGACACGCCGTGATGCAACCGATATCCTGTTCAAAGTTTCGTTAAACCAAACTAACTCACTCGCTCACTTACTCACTCACTCTATGTGTGAACGGAGATATACCTGCTGTGGAAATTTAGAGGTATGTCACCACTGATTTGAAATCTCTTACTTATCTCATAAAATGTAGAGGTATCAAATCAATTAGAGGTCTCAAATCTCAAATTGAAAACCCCAATAGGTTTATCTCCTCTGCAATAAATGTCAAAAGAACAGATGTTATCAGTCTTCAAAACCTGTTTCCTTTGTTATTTGAATCAATTGGTGCCGATGGAAAAACAATTTATTTGTTGTGGCCTAGGATGTACATTACGGTACATTATCTACATCCGTCTTGTCTTGTTTCCGCAGACGGGATGGTCGCCTTCTTCGACGTCCGGAAGTGTGATCGTCTGCTCTATCAGCCGACTTACCTCAGCAACCTACGCAGGCACTACATTGCTGCGGAGGAAATTATCTGGGACTACGGACCAACAGGCAGAAACTTATTTAATGGCGACTCACTCACCGAACAAGGAAGGTTGAGTACAATGACATTGTTACAGGCGTATCCTGTAACCAAACATACTGCGCTGTCGCTTTAAGTTGAATAACGAATGATGAAAGCAATGGCGGATATATAACGCAAACACGGAATAAACACGGAATAAACACGGAATAAACACGGAATAAACATGCATGCATCAACTTATAATTGATTTTACTCATGTAGCGTCTGCCCGGAGAGCGGGATCGATCCCGGGCCGCATCATACCAAAATACGCTAAAAGATGGTACTTGTTGTTAACCTGCCTGTCGCTCTGCATTTAGGGTATATGCTAAGAACTGGTCGGCTCGGAAGCTGTATACTATGTTTGAGTGGGGTATTCTTGTTAAAGAGAGGGGGCGGTCGGGTAGCCTAGTGGTTAAAGCGTTCGCTCGTCACGTCGAAGACCCGGGTTCGATTCCCGACATGGGTACAATGTGTGAAGCCCATTTCTGGTGTCCTCCGCCGTGATATTGCTGGAATATTGCTAAAAGCGGCGTAAAACCATACTCACTCACTCACTCACTTGTTAAAGAGCGGCGTGGTGTCTCAGTGGCCTATTACTATAAAACCGATTAGTATAATAACAGACGCACGCACGCACACGCACGCACGCACACACACACACACACATGCATGCATATCTTTATTCACGACGGGTAGTTAGGATATTCACCGGACACAGATCCGTTTCCTATACTTTGATATAGACTTAGGTGAGGTGAGGTGAAATGGGGTTTAACGTCGCGTCCAAGATTATTGCACTTATATAGCGACGTGCATGTACGTGTGTGTGTGGCTGCTTGTACTAGTCCGGACTGATGCCGATTTATAGTGCTAGCTCACTGAGATACCATGCCGCAGTTTAACATGAATACCCCACAGACACAGTATACTGACTCCGAGCCGACCAGTCCTTGTTTTAGCCCCTTAATGCCGAGCGCCAGACAGGCTAACAACAAGTACCATCTTTCAACGTCTTTTGGTATGACGCGGTCGGGGATCGAACCCCGGACCTTCCGCTCTCCGGGCGGACGCTCTACCACTAGACCACGGAGGCGGTCTATAGACTTAGGTCAGTCTTAGCGCCACGATCTCTCTTTGTGAAACGGGCCCCAGGTTCGAGTCAGGGTGGTCCCTGCGGGGAATATTAATATACAACATGTTCTACTAATGTCCTGACACTGTTCCGGTAAGTGACTTCAGGCCTCACCCCATCTTCATTTCAGTGAATCTGAAAAGTATTTCAAGCGAGACAACCACCACATTGGCGGAGCCTACAAGAAGGCCGTCTTCAGAGCATATGACGACTTCAAGTTCCAGACCAAGAAAATCCAAGATGGCCGCCGAAAGCATGACGGTTTTCTTGGTCCCGTGATAAGAATCGAGGTTGGAGATTTGGTTCAAGTCACCTTCAAGAACATGGCCAGTCGGCCGTACTCCCTGCATGCCGAAGGCGTGAAGTTCAGGAAGAACAGCGAGGGGTCCGAGTACAATGACGGCAGTGACGGTGAGAATACGGCATACTCGATTATCCAGTGTATCATATCTCCTTTTCATTCGGCTAAATTCCCTGGACCCATTCGACAACAAATTTTCATCTCGGAGGTGACGTCAGCATTCAAATATCTCTTTCCCCTAGCTTGATGCAGAATTTCTCTCGCTTACAAGTGTACGGCTACATGTAGCGTCATGCTATTTGAATATGGCTCTTAACGAAGCTGTTATGGCCATTGGTTCAGGGTATTCATCGTTACAAATAGCGACATAATCCACTGGGTAATCGAGGCGTTGTCATGGGTGGGCGCCAACATTCTCTCGGATTTTTGCTTAGACAACATATTTTACAATCTTATCATTAGCTAATAATATGTGCTGTCCGTAAATAATATTAATAATGACAATAACAATAACAATGATAATAAAAATGATGATGATGATGATGATGATGATAATACTCATCATCAACATCATCATCATCATCATCATCATCATCATCTTTGTTGCGATTGTTTTACATCATAGTAATTGAAGCAACAGATCAGTGTTGGCATGACTGAATCGAACCTAGGGACTGCCTGTTTGCCCTACCTTGTGTGTTTTTAATTCGACTCGGCTACGTCCACGTCCATACTTCCATGACCTCCATACGTTAGGCTTCTGCATTAATTGCATGCGGACTGACTAATCTGTTAGAGAACCGTACGCAATAACAAGGATAATCCATACATGTTTATTTCAACTAATGTCAGGCTATCGGAGCCAATTTGTAACGTGTGTTTTACCGTTCCCATTATTGCGCTGTTCCTACAGCAATTGCCGACAACAGTGTGCCCCCTGGCGGGATCAACACGTACTACTGGACAGTGCCGGAAGAGATGGGACCGACTGACAGCGACCCACAATGCCTAACCCGGATATACACATCCGGTGTCAACCCAATTAAGGACATGTATAGTGGCTTGATCGGTCCACTGCTTGTATGCAAACGAGGAACTCTTACTGGACGCAATGAGCAGGTACGTATAACGGGGTGGGGTGGGTACATACACTGTTTTCAGACACCTTACCCTCGTACCCTCTAACCCACCCAGTCACTCACCCATTTGCTCACTCACTCATTAACTCACTCACTCGCCCACCCACTCACCCCTCTACCCACCCACTCACCCATTCTTATTTGTCAGATTAACGTGGAGAAGGAGTTTCACCTGTTGATGTCTGTGATAGACGAGAATGAGTCGTGGTACCTGGAGGACAACATGAAGCTGGCGGGGATGGATATAAACTCCACACACACCAGCAGCTTCACAGAGTCCAACCTCATGCACAGTAAGTACCAGGAAATAGCTGTCGTGTAGATCCGAGGTACAATCGGTCTTCGGTAACCCATGCTTGTCCCCTGTGAAGATATCGATCCGGGTTAGAATGGGTCTTCAGCAACCCATGCTTGTCCCCTGTGAAAATCTGGGTTTCAATTGGTCTTCAGCTACATATGCTTATCCCCCGTCAAGATCCGGGTTAGAATTGATCTTCAGCAACCCATGCTTGTCCCCCATCAAGATCCGGGTTAGAATCGGTCTTTAGCAACCCATGCTTGTCCCCCATCAAGATCCGGGTTAGAATCGGTCTTTAGCAACCGATGCTTGTCCCCCGTGTAGATCTGGGTTAGAATTGGTCTTCAGCAACCCATTCTTGTCCCCCTTGAAGATCCGGGTTAGAATCGGTCTTCAGTAACCTCCGCGAAGATCCGGGTTAGAAATGATCTTTGGTAATCCATGCTTGCCGTAAGAGGCGACTAACGGGATCGGAGGGTCCGGCTCGCTGACATGGTTGATGCATGTCATCGTATCTCAAATGATGCCAGTCACTGGATTGTCTGGTCCAGAATCGATTATTTACAGACCGACGTGCGGCGTTAAACAACAAAGAAAGAAAGAAACAATATTGTAATATGGAAATTGCTGTGTGCTTGGTGCAGGCATCAACGGTCTGATGTACGGGAACCTGGAGGGGCTGGACATGTGCGCCGGTGACCGGGTCAGCTGGCACGTCTTTAGTGTCGGTACAACTGTTGATATCCACTCCATGTATTTTCATGGCAACCCATTCTCTCGGGTCCACACCCATCGCAGCACCACCTTCCTCACCCCCGGGTCGAGGAGGACCCTGTATATGACGCCCAAATGCGCAGGTAAGTCACAGAGTAGCCTCTGACCTTGAAATACAAATATCTGACACATCCAAGCCTAAGTACTTTGCCAAATCTAGATTTCCTCAGTTTCAGGTCTGAAAATTAAGATACTCTCTGTGCTCCCTTCCAACAAAATCAAAAGACAATTTAATAAAATCTTTAATTTAGAGACTAAATACAAGTCAATACATATAGATTCTCTCAAATTTTGGTGATGATTTCAAGATGATGGCAAGCTCAATATTAACCACAATGTTTAAAATACGTGACAAAGTTGAATACAGTAAACTACGGTTATAACGAACACGTTTATAACGAACTGACGGATATAACGAACTTACTTTTTTGGTCCCGACTATTTGCTGTAGTTATGCTGTATATGCTTATAACGAACTACGGTTATAACGAACTTAAACTAGTAGTCCCTTTGAGTTCGTTATAACCGTAGTTAACTGTAGTTATACATATATGAAGGTCCCCAGTTTGTAAAAAAGTTCAGTGAAAGTTATTTCATACCCTGCAGGAGAGTGGGAACTGACCTGTCAGACTGACAACCACTTTTTGGCCGGCGAGAAGACGTTATACAGGGTGTCGAGATGCGCCTCCAGCAGCGTGCAGGTTGACGCCGGGAGGGGGAAGGAGCGCGTGTTCTACATTCAGGCAGAGCAAGTGGACTGGGACTACGCCCCGACAGGTCGCGACGTCACATACAACAAACCCCTTCCATCAAAATATGAATACAGGTTCGTTTCTACTGCAGTTCGAACTCCGTGTGAGATAAAGTTCCCATTGGAATGTAAAGAATTTTACTATGAATTTGGAAATTGCTCGATTCTGATTGCTGAATCAGAGGTGTCAAATCACAATAACCATCTCTGACTGAAACAACCGACAGCATCAACGCGGAATTCAGATAATTTATAGAAAGTACTTTTTTCTCGGACATTGTCGATAGGCATTTATAAATGATAATATGTACAGCTATGAGTTACAAAATGCAAATTTTGGGTTACAACGTATAAGAATATTCAAAGTATGGGGACAATACATTTTGTGCAGAAACACGATAGAGTGTATTTGAAGTTTTAAGGCCCACAGCGATTCGAAGCACTGTCCCACCTAGAGTTCCTTGCGGTCGACTTAGTAATGCTAAGTCATCACGCGATCAATGGTATCATGACATCACACTCTGAACAAGATCGGCTATTTCCGCTGTGGTTACGGAAAGGGCCGAGGTTGGCCGAAAGATGGCGCCATAGCATTCTAACGTGAGTTATGTATGCATCACATCTTTTTGAAAACACATAAAGTAGTGAAACGGAAAATTACCTTTATTTTTCTTTTTTGGTTTGACGCAAGCAAAGGGAAAACCCATATTTACCGACAGTATTCATGAGTACTCGATGTTGCCGAAAAAGTTCATATTTGAAACCTTTTGCTGACGCTGTCGGTTCCAAATGAAATGTCAGGGCATCAAATAATTAATAACACCTGCAAATCGGAAAGCGCATATATCCTAACCTACCAATCAGAAAGTCCATGGGTACATCCTTAATAATTAAGAAACATTAATGATTTTCCCCAAAAATATTTTACAGACAATACTTGAAGGTGCTCTACCGAGGCTACACTGACGCATCCTTCAAGACGTTGATCAACGGCACTGGGGAGGAATACCTTGGCATGCTGGGCCCCGTAATACGAGTGGAAGTAGGGGACACGTTAAAAATTGTCTTCAAAAATAAGGCAGACCGACCCTTTTCCATCCACCCACAAGGCCTGACCCACAACTCGGGTGGGGCGTCAGTCCCGGGTCGATTACGGCCCGACCAGCCTGCCGTACTTCCAGGCCAGGTTCACACATATCTATGGAAGGTTCGCAATGCCTCTGGGCCAGGTATAGCGGACCCCAACTGCATAAACTACCCCTATTATTCCGACGTGAATCCCCTGAGGGACGTAAATACAGGGTTGGCTGGAGCGCTGGTGGTGTGTCGGCCGGGGACTCTGGGAAGTGAAGGGCGCAGGTTAGATGTGGAGAAGGACTTTGCGAGTTACTTGACCATTGTAGACGAAAGACAGAGTTGGCTGGTAGACAAGAACACCGAAAGATGCCAAGGACGGCTTGGTGTCATGGCCACCAAATTGGGACGGTGTGCTCCGAGGTCATTCTACGGTAAGTGAATTCGTCATGTTGTCCTTCGCCCTTTGAATTGACGCAACGTATGCGACACTGCCTTTTCAGTGAGTGAATGAGAGTGATTGATTGAGTGAGTCGATAGGCGGATGACTGTGTGAGCTGGAGGATACGGTTGGAAAGAATGGTGTGGATACTTCGCAGATTCAATGTGTGAGTGATTCGAATGGCAGGTAGCTCAGTGAGTACATGAGTTGGTAAGTGTCTGGAGTGAGTGAGTATGGTTTTACGCCGCTTTTAGCAATATTCCGGCAATATCACGGCGGGGGACACCAGAAATGGGCGTCACATATTGTACCCATGTCGGGAATCGAACCCGGGTCTTCGGCGTGACGAGCGAACGCTTTAACCACTAGGCTACCCGACCGCCCCGTAAGTGTCTGGATATACAGACTGGTGAATGGTTACACTGTCCCATGTAGCAATATCGCAATCGTATTACAATTACAGGGGGACACACTAGCTTCATGATCATGAGTTGTACAACGCCCATCTTCCCGAGGCAAGGGAGTCCACTGACTGTAAAAGTCTAGTTTCCACCCTTGCAGAACTAGGCTGGAATTATGGAGTTATTGTGTCTGGACTATCGAGTCTATGCATATTCCAATCAAAATCGCAAAACGAATTCCACATCCGGTTCGTTAACTACATGGATTTCAACTTGCAGATTTCGGTCGACTGCAGAATTTGCAAGGGATGTGTACCGTCAACTGGGCGTCGACAAATATTTTCTTTATATCTCTTATATCTACATTTTTTAATCAAGGTGCTCCCGTGATTTGATGCATTTCGCGAGTTAAGACCCGTTTTTTACATTATGGATCTTGATCATCTATCAAATCATTTTGAGTGGCTGCCGCCAGTTTATTTTAAACAATTACAAGTGATGTGAGAGTTGGAATCTGATTGGGCAATAGTGGGGACATAGAAGGGACATAATATAGAAGGGCTACGATCGAGCCCAGAAACTCCAACCTAGTTGGTAGTTGGTGGACTGGACTTTAAGAGTAGGTTAACTCCCTTGTCTCGGGAAGGGAAACCTTTCTCTTTCTTTGATTAAAAACCCCATCAGCATGAATCGTAGAGACGTCAACACGCATATAAACTATAAACATCAACTGACGTCATACAAAGTGCTGACATACCGATGCATTGCTCTACATTTCAGTAATAAATGGCTACATTTTCGGGAACCAACCACTGCCCACAATGCCCCAATGGTCTGTAGTTGACTGGTACCTGATGACGCTGGGAGATCAAAATGACCTTCATCCAGTTCATTTCCATGGCAACAACATATACTTGTATGATGGGAAAATCCACACGAGTGACGTCAGTCAGCTGTTTCCGGGAGTGTTTTCGACAGTGCGCATGTCTGCAATAAACCCCGGCAAATGGTTGTACCATTGTCACGTGAACTACCATCTAACATCGGGTATGGAAGGTATGTATGAAGTGAAACGGAGGAAGATGCCCCCGGATTGGGATGAAGACGACAAACTCTAACGCACACTCCGTCGCAGTGGTGACTCAGCATAACACCACTGCCACAGGCTAATTTGCATATCACATGACCGGACTTTTCTCTTGTTTGTAAACAAACGCGCTTTTTCAGAAATCAGTATAGAACGGACTAATGCAAGTATTTGGGGGCGCTTTACATATTGTTTTACATAACTATATAGATATGCTACTACAACTGCGACAGTGAGTTGCATGACAATATATATTTATGCATCAAAGTGACCGTGTCGCTAGCTCTCCGTTGGGCTTCTTTGACAGCACGTGGAGCCGTACAACCAATGTAAATATAGGATAACTACGCAAAAACAAGTAGATTTTTACGTATTTGCATACTTTCTCAATGAAAGTTAACCATTCTTTGACATTTGTTTATGAAAATGTGTAGACTTGTCAAACATGAAACGGATGAAAAGCATGCAATATCTTGAATGGACTGTGAAAGATGTGACGAATCGTCACATGGCGCTGGCCTGTGACAGAGGTACTATGCTAGCTGGCTGCCGGCCGCATGGAACTCTGGGTAGGAGAGTGACTCTAACGCTTACGTCAACAGCGACGTCAACGTCATTTCGTCCTCCTCGTGCACGCGGCTACAACGTGCGAATGTTGATGAAGACAGAAGCAGATGTATTACCAATAGCTACAGTGATTTGCATTCACTGAATTGTTGCCATGGTTTCACATGATACATGTAAAACACTCAGATTGGCTTATTTAGAGCTTTCTGCTGCGTTGTCTACTGGCTATACAGTCTGTGTATAATGCTGTTTATGAGTAAGTCGCAGTAACTGGAGGCTCACATAAACATAGTATTGTTGTTAGAGATCAAAGCAGCTTTCAGTGAACAATATAAACTAGTAGACGTTTTAAGAAACGATAGTTTTTTGAAAAAATATTTTTTATTCAATTCAGTTTATGATGTTTCGTATTTTCCAATAAATAACATGACACGAAATATTATACTTGTTAGGTGGAGGTTACAAATGTATACAGCAGATAGTAAATTATAGTTAGCTAGTTAGGAAACGTGTACAATATCATGTTATAAGGTGGCAAAACTTGCAGGCTGTGTTTGCTATGCTTATTGGGGTCATCATTAGTTAGTGAGTGAGTGAGTGAGTGAGTATGGTTTTACGCCGCTTTTAGCAATATTCCGGCAATATCACGGCGGGGGACACTAGAAATGGGCTTCACACATTGTACCCATGTCGGGAATCAAACCCGGGTCATCATCGTGACAAGCGAATCAAACCCGGGTCTTACCACTTGGCTACCCTACTAAGTATGAAGCTAAATCATCACAGAACATTAGTGGGAATTGTTCATGCTCAAAATAGAGAGACATATTAACTAGACAGTTACATTTGTTTGTTGTTTAACGCCGCACTCAGCAATATTCCAGCTTTATCACGGCGGTCTGTAAATAATCGAGTCTGGACCAGACAATCCAGTAATTGGCATCATGAGCATCGATCCACGAAATTGGGATACGATGACATGCATCAACCAAGTCAGCGAGCCTGACCAACCGACCCCGTTCGTCGCCTCTTACGACAAGCATAGTCGCCTTTTACGACAAGCATGGGTTGCTGACGACCTATTATTACCCGGATCTTCACGGGTTTATTCTATTAAGATATACATTTGACACATTATGAGAATCAGTTCTATGTAGCCTGTAAAGATACACAATATCCCAATCTTAAGTTGAGTGGTATATAACCTATTTGAATAGCTAAATAGTTTTAGAACTGTTCTGTTCCAGCGAACGAAATAAAACCTATCCATTTAGATATTTGAATGGTCAAGTTATCCTAGTAAACATGTTTCTATTTTCGCCGGGTTGACAGGATCCGGTTACTGTGTCTGCGGTAGTGTGCGTTGTTATCAAGCGATCAGAAAACAAATGAGCACAGCATAAACAAAGACAAGGAAGGAACTCTTGGGAGGATGTTTATCATAGACAGTTGTACTGACCATCCCTCATGAGCTGTTATGCTTCCTGAAAGTTGCAGGAGGTGTGATGTTTTCACACTCACTGAGAACTGCCTCTTGAGTCAGAGAGCCCGCCCGGAGAGCGGAAGTTCCGGGGTTCGATCCCCGGCCACGTCATACCAAAGGACGTGAAAAGATGGTACTTGTTGAAACCTGTCTGGCGCTCGGCATTAAGGGGCTAAAACAAGAACTGGTCGGCTCGGAGTCAGTATACTGTGTCTGAGTGGGGTATTAAACTGCAGCCAGCACTATAAATCCGGACTAGTACAATCACACACACACACACACACACACACACACACACACACACACACACACACACACACACACACACACACACACACACACACACACACACACGCACGCACGCACGCACGCACGCACACACGCACGCACGCACGTACGCACGCACACACGCACGCACGCACGTACGCACGCACACACACACACACACGCACGCACACAAAGCCCAATGTCTCCGGGAGGTCCTTGTCTAGTCTGTCTGCAGGCCGACGTCTGCGCGCCGACAGTAAACAAACACGTACATGTAATTGTTCTATGCAAATTGTGTGCATGGCGGATGCTTCCTAGAGGGGATCGGAGGACACACTGACACTGTCACGAACAGGAAGTGCAGCGGATATAAACACACTCTGTATTACACAAGCTCATGCATCCACGTCGCTGTATAAGAGCAATAAACTTAAACGCATCGTTAAACCCCATTTCACCCCCCCCCCCCCCCCCCCCCCCCCCCCACACACACACACACACACTAAGACATACACTGCTGATGATTGTATTATTCTCTGCGATTGATATACAAGAATAAACATGTACAATTCTTAGTGAGTAATTGTAATTGTAATAATATTACATGTAACTTGAAGTAATACGGTAACTGTAAAAAATATATTTCGGTAATATGAACCTAGAGTTTATGTTTCTCTTTTTTGTCTTTTGTTACAACGTATTCACCAGATACAAATACCTATACCACCGTGAAACCTCGTCCGTTACCGTCGTCGTAATGCTCTGTGTCAGTGCACACGTCTGTCAGTGACACCGACACACAGGAATATGTTATAAGGCGTCTAGGCAACAATGACGTTGGAAATCTACTTTAGAAATAAGTGAGTTTTGGTTAACGACGCTTTGAAAAGTAACCCACATGAATCAAACCCTGTCAAAGCGACCATGCAACAAAGCCCGAGTTCTGCTGCGCGACGACAGCAAACAAACACGTAATTGTTGTATGCAAATTGTGTGCATGGCGGATGCTACCTGGAGGTCAGGACACACTGACACTGTCACGAACAGTAAGTGCAGCGGATATAAACACACTATATTATACAAGCTGGTGCAGCGGATATATACACACTATATTATACAAACAGGTGCAAGGGATGTATGCACACTATATTTACAAGAAGGTCCAAGGGATGTATGTTCACTATTATATAAGCATGTGCAACGGATGTATAATTATACACTATATTATACAATAAGGTGCAGCGGATGTAAACACACTATAGTATACAAGCAGGTGTAAGGGATGTGTACACACTATATTATAGAAGCAGGTGCAAGGGATGTATGTACACTATATTATACAATAAGGTGCAGCAGATGTATACACACTATAGTATAGAAGCAGGTGCAAGGGATGTGTGTACACTATATTATACAATAAGGTGCAGCAGATGTATACACACTATAGTATAGAAGCAGGTGCAAGGGATGTATGTACATTATATTATACAATAAGGTGCAGCAGATGTATACACACTATAGTATAGAAGCAGGTGCAAGGGATGTATGTACACTATATTATACAATAAGGTGCAGCAGATGTATACACACTATAGTATAGAAGCAGGTGCAAGGGATGTATGTACACTATATTATACAATAAGGTGCAGCAGATGTATACACACTATAGTATAGAAGCAGGTGCAAGGGATGTATGTACACTATATTATACAATAAGGTGCAGCAGATGTATACACACTATAGTATAGAAGCAGGTGCAAGGGATATGCGGCCATCACCTGTAAGACAGGGTAAGAAAATATTCTCAGATAAATACAATTAGTGTGCATTTAATATTTCCTTTTGTCTATTTATAGGTACTTGTGAACTTTTAGCGAGCGCAGTGAGTGTTGTCATGCATGGATGTCGGCTCTAAAGCGCCTTGGGCCTTCACACAATACTTCACAGAGATGTTTACAGCACATTTAACTTACACCCTTTTATCATGGCTTGCAAGCTGTGACAGAAACAATACTGAAGGACATTCTAGGCGAAACCGACATTAGAGCGCGTTTTTAGTCGTAATTGTCACATGCGCCTTTTCCAACATCTACCGTTGCAGTTAGCAGATCAACAACACAAACATACTTCACGGAAATTCCCCCGGAATCGTGATAGCGATTACGCAGACAGCTCTCTTTCTCAGAAACGAGACCGAGGTCGCCTACTCGCTAGCTCACTTGGACCCTTGGGCGAGCTACTTCGCCTCTACTGTCCTGTGTCAGCCGCTTGTGGCGAATCTTGTCAACATTCAGCTCTGTGGTGATGGAGTGTGTCAAGTTGGTGTCCTTGGTTCTTATTGTTTTATGCTGCACCTCCACCTGTTTTGGGGCAGAGCGGGTGTACTACATAGCTTGTTCTGAGGAGGTATGGGACTATGCCCCTGGGGGTGATGACTTAGTCAATCCTGTCGGGTAGGTAATTTGAAGCATATTTTTAAGGTTGTGCTTTATCTCAAGTTTTCACGCATCTATTCCCGAACATGCTGGATAAAATGTTTCAACTTGGCTTTGTATATTTCACAATAAATTAAAATGAGGAGATCAAATTAAGGAGTCTAATTCATTTTGGTCAATCTGTCTAAAACCCAGCTTCGTTTTACATGCGATATGTATCGTGACTTTGAATTTGAGTCTGAGTCAATTCAATATACATACAGGGACAGTCTTATCTTTGTTTGAATAACTGCCTAACGTAGGCAAAGCTGTAGAGAAGATCAAATTAACAACAGGAAATCACACCCGCAGTCTATGCAACCACCAGGTAGACATATGAAGGTATAGGCAGTTCTGTATGTATGTTGTGGATCTGTGTTGTGACGGGTTTGGTTGCATTTAAATATTCGTCATCGGGATGATTTGATATTGTTCAAAAACTATCAAATATCCCATTCCATTCCATTGATTTTCCCACCTATACAAGAACTTAAAAAACCCCAAAGAAACATTATCATCTGTTTCATATTTAGATTTATGTATACAGATTCAGAGTGACAAGAAATGTCAAGAAGAGTGTTTGACAAGAGAGATGTCTTAAACTTCCAAATTGTCACTTTTCCCTTTATGTTTAGCACTATTCCTGCAGCTCCAGCCCTTAGTGTTTACATTTCACAAAATTTGTGACACATTCGGGTAAGCTCTTTCCCCCAAGATTTCAAAGAGCGTCATCCGACACTAGCTTAAGAGCATTTAGTGATTAGAACTAAATGCCTTTATGTTAGGCTTGGCACAGTTGCTAATATTATTACAGCGAAATACCTTCATTCCGTGCGGCTATTCCGCCGTTTTGCATGGTGCCATCGTCTCTGGCCTAGATCCGCTCTTGGCACGTCCGGTAAAGGAGCGTTTGTTTATATTTTCTATGACCTGTTGTAGCGTGACATTAGCTCACGCAGCACTTGCTCTCCAGCTTTCAGCCGTACAACACATAGTTATATTCGCACATTCATCTATAGCTCATTGCTGTAGTCCACCAGTACCTCCACATCCGCGAACATTTCATCCAATAATATCTCTTGTCTTAATTTGAAGCTCCGCTATCATGCATGATGGCGGAGCCTGTCATAATGGAGCCATGTCCTTATATAAAAGTTGTTTAAACAAGGTTGCAACATTCAAGGTTCCAGTAAAGTTTTCAAAGTATTTTATGGTAGACATGTGGAGGACATTTCCAAATTCCACGCATCAGTGACCAAAAGGATGTCTCATACATAAACAGCCCATTCCATTCCACTGATTTAGCCACCGTAACTAGAAATAACAGAAACTAATGAAGCATCCTCATCTGTTTTATTTAAATTAATGTGTACAGATTCAGAGTGACAAAATTATCCACAAGAATGTTCGACAAGAGAGATGTCATCAACATTCCAAAAATTTTTGAGATACAATCGAGCATGCTCTTCCTAACAAGAGTTCAAATAGTGTCATACGACTCTTGCTCAGAAGCTGATTGATCAAGGTTACAACATTCAAGACGTATGGAAAACTTTCGAAACCTTTTATTGTAGACACGTGGAGAACATAAGTGATAAAACTGATATCTTATACGATTTCTTATTTGACTTGTATCATATGTCCTGTGTATGTTCAGGTGAATACTTGATTTGCCTTTGCATGTGTTTGTGACGGGTGCCATCAGTGAGGTATTATACACCCTACTTTTTCGCAAACACCTGGTATATTCACTATTTGGTCGTGATTCATTGAGCGTATGACATAGTCGGAATCGTATTAATGTTCCTCGTAGAGAATTAATGTGATTGTGAAAAGGGTTTTGTAGCTTTAATTCACGTTTAACCTTAACGCATTTGAATTGCATATGACGTAAGGTTTTCAGGCTGTTAAACCTGTCTGGTAGGCTTACTCAAGGTGTGCTCTAAGTGCTCTGCACCATACTCACAGATACGTGATGTACACAGTAAAACTATGTTTGTATAACGTATTGCACAATGGGTTCTGTCATCATCTAAAAACATGTTTTGCTTTTGCAAATTGTGAAAAGGTCATATATATGAGTAGGTTGTTTTACGCATTCATCCTAAATTGCATAAAGTGAAATGAAAAGAATCAGGATCTTGTTGGTCACACTTTTAATAATGATCCCATGTTTAATAATGATCTAGTCACCATGTGAATGCTCAAACTCTACATTATGACTAAGGTGAAAGGATCAGTTTTCACTCAAAGTTAATTCTCAGCCTCATATGGGGTCAAATAACCCCGTCTGCCTTATGAGACACAAGGTTTGCAGAGTTATTACCAAGTCGTCCTACCGGGCACCCATTCACTGCTGTGTAAACAGAGGCATATTTGGAACTTGCTCAACATGTAACAACCATGACGTGCTTCAGCCCTAGAAACTTTCAGGGGTGAAGTTGACTAACACGGCCACCTATCCACCTGCTCTCCGTGAACAACGTCGCCTGGTTTGAGACATGTTTGCTATTCACAGGACCACGTGTCACGTTTATATTCTTAAGTGATATTACAAACAAACATTACATTGAAACTTAAAACCATTTTCGTACAACTATAATAAAATAAAGTTATGCTCCACATTAAGAGCATTGCATGCAACTGTTGTGTAGCCATTTATGACAACATTTTCAATGTATAAACCTTTACCTTGGCCAGCCTTTCTGAATTTGCAATTTACTGATGATCTTGGATATAACGGGAACAATGATTTAAGTGTTCAGTGAACGGCTTAAGGTTAAAATTTAGGTATCGCCTTTCAGGTTTATTCGCAAGAAGGCGACTTTTTGACTTGTGTAATTAATATAACACAGTACACTAGTGCGAATAAAATTGTATATAAAATCTTCGTATTTCCTGAGTGTGTACGTTATAAATAGAAAAAAAACCCAATGTAGCTATGATATTTAAGTATCAGACATAAAGAAGAGTATTTCGACATCATAGTTTCTTTCTTGTAAAGGTGGATAAAGCGTCGTGGTATAATGGCAAGACATGGCCTCCAGGAGGAATGAATATGCTACCTCCTGGTAAAAGGAGGAATGTATATGCCATATCCGGATAATAGGAGGAATGTATATGCCTCCTCCTGGTAATAGGAGGAAAGCATATGTCACCTTCTGGTAATAGGAGGAATGTATATACAACCTCCTGGAATGAAATGCATATGTCACCTTACAGGAAGAATGTATATGCAACCTTCAGGTAACAAGAAGAATGTATATGCCACCTTCCGGTAACAAGAAGAGTGTATATGCCACCTTCCGATAACAAGAAGAATGTATATGCTACCTTCCGGTAACAAGAAGAGTGTATTTGCCACCTCCTGGGAATTTTTACCTGAAGGTTGCATACACATTCTTCCTGTAAGGTGACATATGCATTTCATTTCAGGAGGTAGTATATACATTCCTCGTGTTACCAAGGGGTGGTATATACATTCCTCCTATTACCAGGAGGTGGCATACACATTTCTCCTATTACCATGTGTTGGTATATGCATTCCCCCTATTACCAACAAGCGGTATATGCATGTTGTCATCTCCTGGTAATAGGAGGAATGTATATGTCACCTCCTGGAAATAGGGGGAATGTATATATCCCCTCCTGGTATTAGAAGGAATGCATATACCATCTCCTGCTTATCGGAAGAATGTATATGTCATCTCCTTGTAATAGGAGGAATGTATATGTCACCTTCTGGTAAAAGGAGGAATGTATATTTCACCTCCTTGAAATAGGGGGGATGCATATGTCACCTTCTGGTAAAAAGAGGAATGTATATGTCATCTCCTGGTAATAGGAGGAATGTATATGTCACCTCTTGGAAATAGGGGGAATGTATATTTTACCTCTTAGTAATAGAAGGAATGTACATGTCCCCTCCTTGTAATAGGAGGAATGTATATGTCACCTCCTGGTAAAAGGAGGAATGTATATTTCACCTCCTTGAAATAGGAGGAATGTATATGTCACCTTCTGGTAAAAGGAGGAATGTATATGTCATCTCTTGGTAATAGGAATGTATATGTCACCTCCTGGTAAAAGGAGGAATGTATATTTCACCTCCTTGAAATAGGGGGAATGTATATGTCACCTCTTAGTAATAGAAGGAATGTACATGTCCCCTCCTGGTAATAGGAGGAATGCATATACCATCTCCTGGTTATCGGAGGAATGTATGTGTCATCTCTTGGTAATAGGAGGAATGTATATGTCACCTTCTGGTAATAGGAGGAATGTATATGTCATCTCCTGGTATAAGAAGGAATGCATATACCATCTCCTGGTTATCGGAAGAATGTATATGTCATCTCCTGGTAATAGGAGGAATGTATATGTCACCTCTTGGAAATAGGGAGAATGTATATGTCACCTCTTAGTAATAGAAGGAATGTACATGTCCCCTCCTGGTAATAGGAGGAATGCATATACCATCTCCTGGTTATCGGAGGAATGTATGTGTCATCTCTTGGTAATAGGAGGAATGTATATGTCCATTTCTGGTAATAGGAGGAATGTATATTTCACCTCCTGGTAAAAGGAGGAATGTATATGTCATCTCCTGGTAATAGGAGGAATGTATATGTCACCTCTTGGAAATAGGGGGAATGTATATTTTACCTCTTAGTAATAGAAGGAATGTACATGTCCCCTCCTTGTAATAGGAGGAATGTATATGTCACCTCCTGGTAAAAGGAGGAATGTATATTTCACCTCCTTGAAATAGGAGGAATGTATATGTCACCTTCTGGTAAAAGGAGGAATGTATATGTCATCTCTTGGTAATAGGAATGTATATGTCACCTCCTGGTAAAAGGAGGAATGTATATTTCACCTCCTTGAAATAGGGGGAATGTATATGTCACCTCTTAGTAATAGAAGGAATGTACATGTCCCCTCCTGGTAATAGGAGGAATGCATATACCATCTCCTGG